TTGCCCTAAGAAAAGTTAGCTTTATTAATGGAACAAAGCTATTAAAAAGACAGGACAATTGTTAACTCCTGTGGAGTGAAAAAGCAGTGAGCTCAACTGACTCCCTCAGCTGCCTGAATAGTGATCTTCAGGGATCCTGGTTTTCTCAGAGGAAACAATGTAAATTCTCTGATTTAATTTTTTTTAAATCACAAATTCTCGGATAAAAACGCTAAAATCTGCAATTAAAATGAAACGCCACTATGTATATATAGGTATCAGTTGAACACAATGTTTTATTGATATATTTACAATTTTAAAACAAATTGGAAGCCTACTGGTGCCTCAATCACTATAATAGAAAACATTCTAAATTTCTATACATTTTGGCATTTGATTAAGGTTTTTTTTATCATAGACAATTAGAGCTCCCCCTGCACCCTTTGCTCACTAGGACATGGGTCAAGGCCCCTCACTGCCCACCCCTCCCCCTGGCCCTACTGGTCCCCCTCACTCCCCAACCACTGCCCCACAGTCCTTCTGGTGCTCTCGACACCCTCCCGCCCCCACCAACACAGCCTGATGACCCATGCTGGTGCCACCAGAGGGTCCCCCAGCTACCAGGGTTACAGGGCTGGGGACACAGGTCTACAGGCCCCTGCCCTCTTGCAGCAGTACCTTAGCCCCAGCTGGCACCCAAGGGAGGCAACAGCTGCTGTGGCTGGAGCAGGGAGTGCAGCACAGAGCCTGGCTCCCCTCCCCTGCAGGCAGCATAGCCGGAGCAGAGCCCATGAGGAGTCAGGAGCAGGTCTAGTCTGCCTGCTGCGGTGTTGGGCAGGGAAGCTGCTTGCCACTGCGAGCCCCGCACCGCCCTGGCAAGGAGTTCCCTGTCCACCCAGCAGCAATGAGGGGCACAACCCTGCGCTACTGCTCCTACTGCTGCCAGGGCAGCAGGGGGAACCTTGCCAGGGTGGTGCAGGGCTCACATTGCCAAGGAGCTTCCCCACCCAGCCCCCCTCTGCCATCGCACTGGGTCGGCCCTGGAGAGGGCAGGGAACCTGAGCCTGCAGTTGGCAGCCTGCTCCCATCCCCGCCCCGTGCACAGATCTGGGTGGACATGCCCCCATCCTCCCTGGGAGTGTGCGCAGTGTCAGGGAGCTACCCTACATTCCCGTCCCCCCGACAAGACGCCTGCGGCCCTGTCCCACTCCCCACTGGGGCCCTGCAGCCATGCATTCCAGCCCCTGGGCCCCAAGCCCCACCTGACTGGACAACAGCCACAGCCTGGCCCAACTCACTCCCTTTCTCCCTACAGGAGCTTCAATCCCCCCTGCCAGACTTACCTGCTGGAGCTGCTCTCCAGGCTGCCTGGTGGCCATATGCACATACATGGTGGCCACTGCCTGACTGCCCTCCACCTGCTTTGCAAAAGCAAAAAAAACCACGTATTTCTCCATTAAAATAAGAAATCCACATTTTTTCTTGGGTAAAAGGGAAAATCTGTGGTTTTATTCCTGTTTTTCCATGGGAAATAGAAAACCCAAATCCCTGGTGATGTTACATCTGGTGCACTGTGGAGCAAGAAGCAAAGCAGGGTGTTTCTATCTCCGGCTAAAAAACAGCTTCCCTGCTTAGTGCATGCATCCCAATAGTGTGGAGGGTGGGGAGGTACATGATTTTTTTTGTGCGAAAATAGTTTTTGAATGCACCTTAGCTTTTTTTCAGGTCTGGCTCCCATCAAGTAAAGTTGCAGGTGAGAAAAGGGACTTCTCATACTGTTGATCTCTCTCTTTGTGGGCCTCTTACCACTTGATGCCACAAGAAATGACATTCATTTTATGCACTGGCCCACTGAACACAGGAGAGGAGATTCTAGCCTCAGGGATCTAGAGTTTCTTTAGTCAACAGGCACTCAAAGTTAACAGATACTAGCACTACACTGCTCTTTAGCTTAAGAATACAATGTAACCTGACAGACAGATTAGGTTAAGTATGCAATTGCTGTATGCATGTCTCTATAAGCAGCCAAGCACAAGGATAAAGAGTTCAACTAAACCAAAGCACAGTATCTGTAAGCAAAGGAAACACTCTAGCACAGGGGCAGGCAATTATTTCGGACGGAGGGCCACTTACTGAGTTTTGGCAAGCCATCAAGGGCCACATGACAGGCAGCCAGGGGCAGATAAATATTATTTTTCTAAATTTTTTAGGGGCCCCGTGGACCGGATAGAATGGCCTGGCGGGCTGCATCCGGCCCCCGGGCCACATTTTGCCCACCCCTGCTCTAGCATGTTTTTTTTAGATACAAGAAAACTGACAAACTTCCAGTGATCTAGTTAAAGTACAGGATGTGTGTTTGACAAGGGCTGAGCTACAGAACCAATAACAAGTGCATCACCTTAAGTTAACATGCCTGAGTTTCTTCTATGTTACTACAGGCCTCTTCAGGGCTGTCTGAAAAATGGGTCTCAGCTATGACTGTTTCTCCATCAATTTACCACAGCCCCCATTCGTCCCTAGGAAGAGATTAGCATTTCAATCACTACCCTCTATTGAATTTCTGTTCCAATTAGCTTCATAATATTTCTACCATTGACAATTAAAGCAGTCTATCAATACAAGGCCTTGTGCAGAAATACTAACAGTACCTTCTTATGGACTTCTTCAGAAATGCATCTTCTATTGCTTAACCTCAACTTCAATAGGCAACAGATCCATGTATTTACTGTTGGTGTTACAATATGCTTAATTTTTACTGCAAACGTCTTTTGTAAGAGAGCTTTAGTGATACATGAGTATAATACTTCAGTATCTCCACACTGGACAAATGATCTTAATTTTTTTTCCAATAAATTCTTCTATGAAGATATGGTAACATCCTCACATCTCTGCAACCCTCTATGCTAGTAAAACACTAGTGATGCTCATGCTAAAGTTAGGCTCTGTCTTTTGTAAAGCCTGAGTCAAACTAGTGATTAAAACTAAAGTTATTTAAAACATAGCACTATGAATCAAGCACAAAGCCTTAGGCCCAAATTTTACAAAGCTAAGTGATTGTAGTAGTAGTGATTACAGCAAGTTTTGTATATTCAGTTTCAAACACCTAAGCGACATTAATAAAATGCAAATCAAAGGCTGTACTCTGTGTTTTTCCATTAAGCTCTCTCATGTTGGGAACCAGAAAAAGGAGAGGCATCCAGTACCACTAACTACTGGCCCAGGACTTCAGAATCAAGTGCGTCTGTTCTAACTGGCCATGCCTCTGGCTTTGTGTCATTGTAGTAATTTAAAACTCACTGCTGTGCTAGAAAGTCTGGGTTTTCTTATGCAGACCTATTTCACTTGCTCAGCTAAAGATTCCAACACAGCTTTCAAATCTCTATGCTCCTAATTTAACAGGAATCTTTACTAGTTTACTGGGCAAGGGAAAGAAGAGAATCAACTATTTTGAAACACGGAGAAATATACATCAGGCAGGAGTCTCAACCTTTCATTTCTGGAGAGCAAAGTCCAGGTGGAGTGGGTGTTCTCAGAAACTCCAGATTAATGGGATGTTCATTCCATGTCTACATCACAATACAGAGCAGCACAGTGCAACCATGACTAATGGTCATCAGTGGCTGATCAAATGGGCTGAAGGGATAAATTCTCAAAATGTCTTGATTCAATGGTTTTATTTTTCTAAAGAATGTTTCCAGAGGACAAAGCAACATGGAAAATTTACAAGTCTTTGTATTCAGCTTTCTCTACCCCTTCAAAGAAAAAAAAATAGCAAAGTGGATCATTTTTATTTAGTGCCAACAATGTTCTTGACAATGAATAGTAAACAAAGACAATACCTGCCCCACAGAGCTTACATTCTAAGAAAGAGAGAAAAGATGGATTGGCATGGGGAAATCCAGTGCGTCATGCTGCTGGCACCATATATTGAGGCTAACATCTCTTTGTTGTGCTGGCAATCAGTACATAGCCATTGCATAGACCACACATTTCATATGACAGAACAAGCTTTCTCTGCAGGTTTGTGGGAGGTAGAATGCAAAGAACGTCCTCAAAATGACTTATAAGGCAGCCCTGGGGTGAGGAAAACATTTATTCTATGTAAAAAGATTTGCTTATTTACATACTTTAAAAAAAATGGAAATAAAATTATTGGTAACATGTGCCCAGGAAGCTCAGCCACCAAACCAATCTCCTTACAAAAATAAAACTTTAAAACAACATGTTTCAGAAATAAATATAAAAAAGGTAAGAAAAATAAATACAGGTATCCAAGCTATATGGCTTAAACACAAAGGAGTAGAGTTCTTTATGGATAGGTGATCTTGGGGTCCCTGCTAAACCAGCAGCTGCCACAAACTCCCTGTCTCCCATTTTGATAAGAGAAGGGCTCCAATAGCAATGAGCAAGTTTTCTTTTAATAAAAAGTATTTTTTTAATGTTCCTGATTTAAGGAAGTCCAGAGCATTTTCATCTTTGCTGAATCTTGCCGAAAGCAGTATTCCCATGAGATTCCCTTTGCTGAAATCTGTGTGTGCAAGAGGTTTGCACCTTCTCTCTTGTTCAGAAAATAAAGTGAAGCCTCACCTGTGATCTTGCATGAACCCCATCTGACAACATGTGCATATACCCCAAGAGACTGATCAAAAAATATAGCCCCTTCTTAAAAAGCTGAGTGACAGGAAGCCCAAAGATTTCCCCACTGCTGAATAGTGCTTCTCATGTATGGAAACCACACATTTTAAACACAGAGCTATCTACAAAACAACTGTTACGTGATGGGGAACAAAGGGAAAGCTCAACTGGCTCAAAGAAGGATTCTACTGCTTCAGAGCAACAACGCAGCAGTCAGACCCAGTCAAACACAGTGTCAAGGTTTCCAGGGCAGGCCATTGTGTTTCAAGGGCCAGCTCATTGCTGTCAGGAATATGGCCAGCAGTATTCACAGTGCTCTAAGTAAAAGGAGATGGGGTTCTCTGAGCCC